TTTCTTTAATATAATCTTTGTGTTAATATTATATATATATATATATAAAAAATTCTAGTCATTAATTACATTAATTTTATATTTATAAAATTACATTAATAAGAATTTCAACAAAAATTACATGGTAGAAAGTTATATTTTATTAAATACTTACGTTTAACGCATAAAAAATTATACCCCCTTTTTACCCAGTCCTCATTATCTTGTTTAAAAAGTATAAAATGTACTCTTTCTTTGTAATTTAGAGATGGTAACCTTACACGCGACGTAATATCAAAGGCAGATACGTGATATTGCGATCAATGCCAGTGATCTATCTGGAATACGATCTGAATGCCAAGGAAGAATTCCACATGTGAGAAATCTCGTCGTGAGATTGATCGCAACGGATATACACACTCGTTCTCTTCGGCCGAGAGAAACCGCTTTATCATTCGCGAACAGCGTCGCGAAGAGAACACGTGTATGCACACCCACACGCGTGCAGGAAGTCTGGCGTGAATATCTAATTTTTTTTACCTCGGGATTAATTCTCGCTGGACGAATATTTCTCCCTCTGTTGTATTACGAGTCGCGGGGAAACGCGAATGAGATTTAAATAAAAACGCAATCTTCCGTGCTGTGTGATTATTACGCTTTTACTCTTTCCATGAGTACACACTGCACACGGGATGATCTATTTAAAGATGTCTGTATAACGATTGAACAAGAACTCGTAATTAAACGCAAAAGTGAGATTGCAATCTGGAACGACACTGTTATAATTTTTATTCCATTATTTATCAGACACATTGTAATTATACAAAATGATTTACGTATATTATTCAGAGTATATCACGTATATCATCCTGAGCCGGATTTATTTACCTCGATTACATCTTTGAATTTCTCTCTTTTTGGGGAGGACAATCATAATACGCAAAATATATTTGATAGCGATTTGATATCGTAGAAATATATATATTTGGATATGAGATTAGTTTAATGACAATGTCAGCGAATCTTGAGTTAAAACAAAATGCAGATCTGTACATTAAATTATTTTTGTGGTTATTTGCATTTCAGTTCTCCTCATTTCGCGTTTGCACGAAAATGTCTATAGTAAGGTATTGTCGCTCGGGACTGTATTTTTGGTACCTAATTTGCGTATAAAAGCTGGTGGCCGACTTATCTTCCACGACACGCGAAATGTATGCCCGCTTAAAAAGGATTAAGGGCTTCGTTTTCAAGAAACGATAACACGACTTGCCAGATTCTGAGAATTCAACCAAGTGCGAAGACGCGTGTATTATTCAAGTGATTCAAGTGGAATGATCGTCAGATATACGAGTATGATCGTAGATAATTATTATTTTCGAACAAGCGTTAACGAAAAATTCGAGCAGGCGATCATCGTATTTTGATTTTTATTTTGTAGCAATTTTATTTCTAGCGCGATTAAAATTACACTCATTAATCATCTATTAATTTTATAATAATCGTCTATTTACTTTCTTATTAAAAATAGATATAAATTCTGCAATTTTACAAATGCAAGTAGTTGCCTAATTGTAGATTTATATGATTTTAATATTTTCTTAAGAATGCAGTTATTATGATTAAGCTGAGAAAAGTTGATAAAAGGGCTAATAAATCTTAATTTCATAAATTAGAGATAGATTGCTTTTCCTTTAGGAGACACAAGTCGATACAAGTGTCGTTCTACCTTTGTTATCTGTTGAATATCAAGAAGGATAGAAAAACGTTTGTGTCAACCGTATCTCCTAAAAGGAAAGTAGCAATAATCATTCCGTAAGATTCTTTTTCGTTTTTTAGCATTAGTCGCGAAATTCTTGGAAGAAAAATCTCGCTTGTCCTGCTTTAAGTAAATATATCGGCTCGATCGAGCACACTCATTTCTTATTCGTTCGACTCGTGCTCCTTTCCTGTTTCTCACCCTAAGCTTTCGAGAATTTGAGGGTACTTCTTATTTCGAATACTGGGCGTGCCATCATTTCGGATCTTCTCGTTCATCTGCGATCTTCCCCGCATTTCGCAGCTTCGTAAGATTCTTCGAAAAGCCGTCTACACAGATTATAGGGGTATAGTTAAATTATCGTCTTCTCATTTGAAGAGAAAATCCTGTTGGCGATTTGTTCCGTATTTTCAAATATACACTGTTTGATATCAAAAAAGCAATGGCACCCCATAATCCTTTGAGTTATATAACATTTTATTATTTTTAACTTCTATATGTGTCAAAATGTAAATCGATCCATTTCTGTGGTTGTTTTGAACTAAACAACGTTTCATATTAATATATGCTTATTGTTAATAATTATGTAATAACCTTTCGAATGAAATTCACATTTTCTTGAGTTAAATTGTTTACTCTATTGCCTTAGCAAAATTATATTCAGTAGAAGCAGTGGCGATCTATAAAAATAATAAAAAATAACTTAAATTAGGTAGAATTTGACATTTGTCAATTTAACAGTATATTATTATATTATCTATCCAATTGATGCGCATAAAAATAATCAACGTTTCTCTGAATGAAATTTATTTGCTCCACACACATAATTAATATCTCTTTTAAATATGATTATTTATAATTATTACGTTACATAGAGCAATAGTTATTTTTATTAAAATTTCTTTTTTTTTTTTTATTCCATTGTATCTTGTAATTACATTTTATAAAATCTTAATGAAATATAATTTATTTTAAATCTTAATTTATTTCAATTTATTAATTTAAATGATTTTAAATTTTAATATTCCAACCAAATATTTTAATAAGAAAGAATTCTTTTAACCGAGAAAAGGCCGAAGGCGTGCTTTCGAATCGAGCGTTCGTATCGATCGTCAACCTTTCTTCTGCCTTTTTTTACACTGCGATTTTTCACCGATAGCACCTGTACGGCTTTGTTTCTCGACGACAGACGGGCCCTTCGTTTCTATTAGCTACCCTTCGAGCTCTTTCGAAGCCACCCTTTCTCTTCCGCGTCTCTCTCGTCCATTGGGAAGCTTGAGCACCCATCCCTCCTGAGCACCATTCCCTCGCTCCGCCATCTCTGAGCCGACCTCGCACCCCTTTATCCGAACCCCATTGTTCTGCGTCCTCCAACACCGCGGCAGGCTTGCACCTTAAAGGTGCACCACTCTTCGAATTTCGTTCGTCACTGTGGCTAACGTCCAATGCCGAATTCCTTTTTACGCGGCATGCATCGACTGCCAGGATAATCGGACAGGACACGGCGAGGTATCTCGAGGGGGCGAAAGATCGATGTCCCCGATAAAACATTGCCTTCAGCGTTAACTGTTCGTTTTCGTTTCCCATCCTGGTCCGTTCGAAGGGAACAGAATTTATGTTTTGTGTTAACCGTTTTTTTTTTTCTGAACTTTATACTTTTCTTTACTTTGACATACACATGCGACATGTGAAAATTTTAAGCAAATATAGTAATATAAATATTGTAACGTTCTGCTTAGGGACGCACCGAATCGTAAAATTACCGGATATCAAATATCCGGACAGAATGTAACGTCGAATATCCGAGAAGGCAATTTCTTCGAGTCGAATATTCGACATTTTCCGGATATCCGACCGGATTTCCGAGAAAGCGTCTTCTAAAAAAAAGCCTATAAAGAAGAAGGTTGTAATTTTGCAACAACGTATAAGATATTATAGTATTATGAACATGCATATTTATTTCTAGAACATTTGTGTAAGAAAAAAATCAACAATTTAATGATATCAAATTTCAACCGGATACTAATTCCGGCTATTCGATCGGATAGTAAAAAAATGCTGGATAATACCGAATACTTTCCCAGTGCAATTCCTATAATTATGCTAGTTATGCTGTTATAAAGTTAATTGACATTTAAAACTTAAAGCAGGAAGCAAATATAAACAAAAGTATTCTACAAAAATGCAACTTTTTTTTAAACCGTGACATTTATAACACTTTCGAAAATTCATAGCTGGAATGGTTTGCCAATACGAACAATTTTCGCTTTCCCTAAAATTTATAAATAATTATTTATTCATTTTATAATTTACACTGTACATTTCATACATAATCTGCATTTTGTATACTTTATATAATCGAAACTCTATAATGAAATTCTTTGATCGCTTGATAATCTCGCAGACAAATATAAGAAATCTGAATAATTCAAAGCATTAATGACATATACCGATGAGGTTTGGGAAAACGCATTTTCTCTATTTAATATATATTTTCTTAAAGAACACTTACGATTCATCGTAATTGTGTTTCACAGCACACGGTGAATCAATCAAGCAGCGATTCTAATCGGCAAGAAATCATTCGCGGCGCATTGGACTGGAGAAGATCGAGTATCGTTTTTTATTTCCTTTCTTAAAGAGTCTTCGTTCTCGTTTCTTAGAGCACGACACAATATGACTTCGACGAAGGCGAGAGGGACCGTTAGCCTCACCGTCGTCGAAATAGATCGGTGGTGGCGTGATATCGACGGGGGGCCGTAAATTAAAATGTCTCCTTTCGCGACGGAGGTAAAAGCGTATCGAGGGGAAAGACAATCTCTCCCTCGTTGTCCTCCCCCTGATGTCCTAATCTTCAGCTCCTCTTGGTTCTTTCAACGTCCCTCACCACCCCTTTCGGTCTCATCTTTCAACGGAATCAATTCTCTCGGGCGCGCTTTGGCAACACTCCTGCCAACTTCTTTATAAAGCAAAACTCTATACGTAAGAAGGAATCAGAAAAAATGGGCGCATTGCGAATTTATGTGTATGGAGTGCTTTGAAAATCGAGCAATGAGAAGGATGAG